TGCGGTGTTTTTATTCTTCAGCTTGTCATCACTTACTGTAACCCTGCATAATTTAGTGAAACTGTCAGCTGTGATCTATCAGCACAGAGTAAAAAAAACAAACAATGCTAAGCTCAGACATGACATGTTTCTAATTACAGGATGCCTAGATTGTTCAAACGTCTTAAACGATTGCTATCTGCCAAGATCAACATGGTAAAAAATGCCACCCACTTGGTTCATAAAAAAACATCTGAAACAGATGATATCCTGTTTGACCACTTTGTGGAACAGGAGATCCTGATAGGGCAGTTAAACCTACTTTACTGAATTCTCGTAAAGAGAGCTGACTCATCAGGGGTGAGAATTGTTTCAAAAGCTGATCCTAAAGAAGATATTTGTATTTTTATGCTTGAAAACTAAGATTTTGCAAAGTTGCAGACAGGGTTTGAAAATTTTGTTTTGTTACTCTGAACAATGAGGTTTTAGCAACCTGAGCCTAACTACACACGTATGCATAATAATTTAGTTTCTCTGCTCCACTTGCTAATGTTCAGTTAATTAAACCTTTGGGTATGACAATAGGTGCTTGATTGCATATCAGAATGAGGAAATATGAGGATCTAAATTATCTGAGCATTAACAAGCAGATGGTGGACATCTGCAGATATTTAGCAATTAAAGCATCATTGTTTCATTTTTAATATCTAAATGAACAGGAGGACAAACTGGTTTATCATTTAAAGCTAAATTAATAAAAATATTGTGATGTCAGAGAGAAGTAATTAAAAAAAACCCACGTGTAATGCATTTAACCACATTTCTTTGATGCCTCCTTTACTTCTCTGTTTATTTGTTTTTTTAAGATCCCTCCCTGACCGATCACTGATTGGCTATGAGCTAAATAAAATGGTATAAAACATTTCTTTTTTAATATGTGTCCCTTCATCTGGAATGACCACTATGACCACTAAGAAGAGTCAGAGGCAACCACAAGTTCTGAGGAAAATCAAAAAGAATAGCCAGAAATGGTGAAAATGCACACGTGCTTGTAACTGGGTCATGAAGGATCTGGCGCATCTCAAGGAGGTATTGTGTGAGACATGAAAGCAAACCTGTAGAGGTCAGCAGTGCATTGCAGGAAACACAGAGAAAAAAAAAAACATGCAGACATTTATACCTAATGCCAATTTATAGTGACCAACTAACCAAACAGTCACGTTTTAGTATTGCAGGACAACAGACAAATAACAAAGGCCTGGATTCAAAACCTAAGATAACAGTGATAATCCTCCACATAGCTCTAGAAGAACAGGGAAGTTATTTGTTTTTCTAAAGTTAGAAAGAACAAGAAAAACATTCTTCTGGCAAGGACATTTCAAACCCGACAATAACACTCCATGTGGCTGTGATACATTTTAGGCATGCAAGAAGAAACCTCATACAAGAACTCTTAGACCAGGGCTGCAAAAAGGAAATCATATAAATTAGTTTTAGTGCCCCTGGAGAAAGTACAAATGCATCTGTTTTTGTGGACCATGTAAAGGTGGCAGAGTTTGAAAGGATCCTGCACCTCATACATACACTCACCGGCCACTTTATTAGGTACCCCATGCTAGTAACGGGTTGGACCCCCTTTTGCCTTCAGAACTGCCTCAATTCTTGGTGGCATAGATTCAACAAGGTGCTGGAAGCATTCCTCAGGGATTTTGGTCCATATTGACATGATGGCATCACACAGTAGCCGCAGATTTGTCAGCAGCACATCCATGATGCGAATCTCCCGTTCCACCACATCCCAAAGATGCTCTATTGGATTGAGATCTGGTGACTGTGGAGGCCATTTGAGTACAGTGAACTCATTGTCATGTTCAAGAAACCAGTCTGAGATGATTCCAGCTTTATGACATGGCGCACTATCCTGCTGAAAGTAGCCATAAGAAGTTGGGTACATTGTGGTCATAAAGGGATGGACATGGTCAGCAACAATACTCAGGTAGGCTGTGGCGTTGCAACGATGCTCAATTGGTACCAAGGGGCCCAAAGAGTGCCAAGAAAATATTCCCCAAACCATGACACCACCACCACCAGCCTGAACTGTTGATACAAGGCAGGATGGATCCATGCTTTCATGTTGTAGACGCCAAATTCTGACCCTACCATCCGAATGTCGCAGCAGAAATCGAGACTCATCAGACCAGGCAACGTTTTTCCAATCTTCTATTGTCCAATTTCGATGAGCTTGTGCAAATTGTAGCCTCAGTTTCCTGTTCTTAGCTGAAAGGAGTGGCACCCGGTGTGGTCTTCTGCTGCTGTAGCCCATCTGCCTCAAACTTCGACGTACTGTGTGTTCAGAGATGCTCTTCTGCCCACCTTGGTTGTAACGGGTGGTTATTTGAGTCACTTTTTCCCTTCTATCAGCTCGAACCAGTCTGGCCATTCTCCTCTGACCTCTGGTATCAACAAGGCATTTCCGCCCACAGAACTGCCGCTCACTGGATGTTTTTTCTTTTTCGGACCATTCTCTGTAAACCCTAGAGATGGTTGTGCGTGAAAATCCCAGTAGATCAGCAGTTTCTGAAATACTCAGACCAGCCCTTCTGGCACCAACAATCATGCCACGTTCAAAGTCACTCAAATCACCTTTCTTCCCCATACTGATGCTCGGTTTGAACGGCAGGAGATTGTCTTGACCATGTCTACATGCCTAAATGCACTGAGTTGCCGCCATGTGATTGGCTGCTTAGAAATTAAGTGTTAACAAGCAGTTGGACAGGCGTACCTAATAAAGTGGCCGGTGAGTGTATAACAACGCTGCATCTCTGTGAGGTCCATATGCACAAGTGATGCAGACAAGTAGAGGCTACAGAGGCTCGTGAAAATCATTGACCACCTTGAAATCCTAAACACCAGTTGTTCCCCTGCTGCCCTCCAGGTGATGCTACAAGTCAAGTAGTAAAAGGCTGAGGAACTGGAAAGACACAGTAACCACAATGCTTATTGTGCACATTTTAAGTTCTGTGGGTATTATTTATGTGTACTTGCATCACATATATTCAGAGCTATAAATGTAAAACACAGGTACTAAGAATATTATATACAGGTTGGTAGACCTCAGATACATAACTGTGTTCAACTTGTATCCTTATTATCTCTATCAAAGCAGCCATTTCTATTAATCCTTTATTCCTTATTGTCAGGTTAAAACAACTATTAAGTTGAAGCAGTTTCATGAAATAAAAATGGAGGCCCCTTTTTTGATAAATAAGCTAAGATAGTGTGTACTTTGTGTTAGAAATAAGTAAAATTGATCTATATCCAGACTGAATCTCCATTAGCTTTAGAGTTGAGGTAATAAAAAGGTTTCAGCATTTTTTTTCTGCTTCTTTGTGGAATAACTGAATTTAATTATGATAAAAGTTTGACACCCGAAATGAACTGTTATGTTTTTAGGTCTAAGTCATTTCTTAAAAATATAACATCCAACTCTGATCAGCAGGTTAATTCCAATCAAATAGGTGTGATGATTCATCACACATCACATGCCTACAAAAAGATTGTTATTATGCTTTGTTTTGTGCTATTAGTATGATCAATTTAACAGTGTTTTTATGCAGCTAGAAGCTGCATATCGTCTGTAGGTCTGTTGGGGAGAGTGTGATCTATTCTGCATAAGTGCACCGATTCTAGAAGTGCTGCAATGCTGGGCTGATGCATGGGTTGGACAGGGCAGGCCCTTGTTTCATCTTCCTGTTCTAGAGGATTTACTCTAGAAACAATTTCACAAATAATTCTTCATACAACAAAAAACTTACAGACAACTATTAAACTGTTATACAACAATATTGTCTTCAGTCAAAGGCAGATCTGCTGCAATTCAATCTGCTACAAAAGATCCTTCTTTCCTATAGTTAACATCTCAACAACTCAATTAAATAACCATGAAGTCAGTATTCTGCAAACATAAACGTATAATAAATACTTATACAAGCAGTTTTATTTCAAACCCACACCTTAATTACTCTTTATGTAGTTTTTTAAATCTATATGAAGAGTAGCCCTCCCAGTCGACCAGGTACTGCCAGCCACGACCTTATCGACAGGAGTCCACAATCCTCAGGACCGTAAAAAATGGGTGCCCCTTGTAGTCTCAGGTGGTGAAGGCGGCTCGGCTTGAGGGCAAAAAGTGCTGGTGAGGACCGGTTTAATCTGGGAAACACGGAGCGTCGGATGGATGCGGAGACGGGTCTTGATAAATCAAACTGCCTGTATGGTGAAATATCATTGCTACCACTTTGAATAAAGAATGTGAGCATTAATCTTCATAGAAGTATTTTTTTATTGAACCATTTAGGAACATTAGGTCCATTTTTATACACAGGATTAGAATGAAAAGATAAAAATCAAATCTATTTCAAAATAAAACAACTGATTATAGGTGAAAATAATCATGACAAAACATTAGACAAAATAAAACCTTTCTTCCAGTTATGATTAATAGAAAACCACATTTCCAGATATTTGCATCTTTGGCTACGTTCACACTGCTGGTCTTGATGCTCGATTTTTTTGCGAAATCCGATTTTTTTTCGTTGCTGTGCACATTTCCAAATATATGTGACTTGTATGTGATCTCTTGTGTGAACTGCAGTCATACAACGCAAGTGTCCCGCATGCGCAGTAGAGGACGCAATGACGTCACAGGCCAGTGTGCTCTTTTTTCCCGGAAGTAAACATGGATGGTAGCGCTGGCGCGCATATAGCGATCTTTTCCAGCCATAAAACACAATCTTTTCAACATGGTTAAACATAAATACTGCTCTCCGCATCATCATCTGCCATGGTTGTTGTTTTTCTTGCCGCTTCTGCGTAGCAAGACGCATAATAGTGACCTTTGTCGGGTATTAATGACGTTCAGGTAGGATGAATGCGACCTGGCCGTTCAGACACAGGTCGCATTCGAAAAGATCAGGTTCGTATCGGATTCAGGACCACATAGTCAAGTGGCCTGGGTTGGATAGGAAAAAATCGGATCTGTGTTGTTCAGACTGCCATGAAAAGATCAGATCCAGGTCACATATGGGCAAACAAATCGGATTTGGGTCACTTCAGGCTGCAGTGTGAATGTAGCCTTTATTAGATATTAAAAGAACTTCATAAAGAATCCCACATTCCCAAAACCCCAGAAAGCAGCCCAGCAGACGCAGGTGGTTTAGTTTTCATATGAGGGCAGAGGTTGATATTTGACCCTGGAGGTTTTGGCTTTGTAGATGAGGACGCCACAGACCATCCCAACAGCAACAAGAAGGCATCCAGCAAATAACACCAGGTTCAGGTTTAGATCTGGTGCTGCAAACAAGAGAAATTCAGTTAGTGATGGAGTCCTACTCACATTAAACCAGCTTCTCATAAATATTTTAAAATGGTTTCCCTACCTGAGCCTCCTTTGGGGTTTGCTTCACGCCGCAGACGCAGTGGACCCTGGGAAACCAAATGCTTTCCGCTCTGGACTACAGCCTCTCTCTTTCTACGAACAGGGCTGTGAGTCATTGTAGAGTTCATGCATCCCTTAGAGCACCTGGTGTTGGGATTTCCTGCCTCACACATCATGACTGTGCAGCTGATGTACACCTGAACACATAAAGCAAATAGCCATTGAAAACTACCACACTACCTGATGGATAAAGTTGTTTTTGACCACAAGTATGTGGAAACCAAGGAATGTTTCAACATTCAGTTCAGTGAAAGAAACTAATTTCATAATCAAATGTTTTGTAGCACATTTTGTTCCTAACCTGATCATGCAGTCCAATGAACTTGAAGGCCTCCATGCTGAACCTGAATTGTCTGTTTTGGGGTGTGGAGTAAATCTGCAAAGTTGGGTCAACTTTGCACCTAATTGAAACCAAAATCTCACATTAGCTGAAATAGATTTACAGCTTATCAGTTTTATTAACCGTCAGCACATCAAAATCATCATCAGCAAATGTTATTTGAAGTGGACCATAGTAAATGGTTTCTGTGCTTGTCTTCCTTGGGTTCCTCTGCAGCCATGCTTACCCGTTCTCAATGATGGAGTAGGTCGGATGGTAGTTGGGGTTGTCATACGGTGCAGCTCTGCAGGACTCCACAAACATCTCAGTGTTATTGACAGAGGAGCTGGCATCCAGCTGCATGTAGATCCTGTTTCCAATGTCAAACTCCAGAGGGTAGGAGTTTGGGTCAAACATGGCTCCAAACTGGTCATTCTGGTAGAACTCAAACTGGTAGATGAACGTGCCAAAACCTCTCTCCCAAACTGTGACGTTCTTTCTGTGTGCTGAAAAGCTTAGGGTCACATTGCCCCGTTTGGGGTACTGGCAGTAGAAACGGGCCTCCACCAAGTGTTTCCTGGTGACCAGCTCTGTTGGGTTGTCCTCCACTGTTGTGATCTCATTCTTAAAAATGAGGTAATCGTCGTCTTCCTGCAGAGTAAATAGTCACAACCTATACAAATGCTAGAAAGATTAACCATGTGCAGCATAGAACACAACTTGTTTTCACCTCTATCTGAGTACCACAGCCGTTGAGAGGAATGATGGCGACTATGTGGCTACTGTTGGAGTTCCTTTTAAGGCTGCAGATGGTGTTGCTGGGGTCGCTAAGGCGAAGATGATCCTCCTGAAGTCCAAAGAAGGATTGCTTTTCAACTTCCACCTTCATTGTTGTTTCAGTGCAGGTAACTTGGGCTTTGACTGGAACAAGAATAATTGGTTCGGAACAAAACAAAACAAAACAAAACAAAAATGTATACAACTCATGAAAAGAATGGCTCCAAAACATTAAGGTAATGCAATGACCTCCAGGTGCTTGGATGGAGGTAAAAAGGAATCTTAAAGACTTAGCAAAGGAATACATCTTTACCTAAATGGGACCAAGTTTATCCACTATTAAATGTGAACAAGTCGCTCTGTAAAATGATCTCCGCTAATATTTACAGGAAGAGACGCTTTTCATTTGTTAGAACTGTAATTTCCCAGAAAAATACCTCTAGTTTAAACTTACTTTGCTCTTTTCGAATTTCCACCAGAACACACCTCATCTCAGACTGATAGACGGATGACCTGAAACGGAAAAAAATGTTTCCCTCATAAATAAATCAGTAAACTAATAGATACTTCTAAAATGGACTTATGCTATTTATGGTTTCATGTCTTATGCTACTTATTAAGATGTTGAAAAGATGTTTATGGCTGAGGTACAAAATATAATAAAAATATATTGTTCCCAATTTCAATAACTATTGCTTTTATTATAAATAAATCCCGGTCTCACCCATTCTGTGATTCCACAGCAAAGCAGATCGGAAAATGACCTCCAAGATCATCTTTAACTGGTGTCCACCTGATGACAAAATCACTGTTAATGTCCCTGTGCTTGGTGACATTCGATGGCCCGCTGAAGATGATGTTTTGGATACTAGATGAAAAGTAAAGCACAAAATATCATGTAGACGTTGTTGCTGTTTTCTTGCCGGCAGCCATCAGTAAGCTCTGATAAACTACATTGAGTGTGATGCCTGAGCTTTGACTCTGATCTCCAGTTCTTTCTGAACCTCAGCCACAATGCGTTCTCCGTGTCTAGGTGTTGGAGCCACAAGATGAGGCAGGTAGAGTCCTTCCTGACATGATGGAACAGGTGGGTCCACTGGAAAAAAAAAAACAGGCTTTAAAAATCCACAAATACTGTACCATTCATTGTCGTAGTTGACTTTGTTGTAAATTATGCGTGTTTGCACCAAACATTTGATCATTTCATGAATGAAAGATTTCTTGATATATGAAACAAGGGGCTAACTTTTAAAAACAATTAAAAATGTAAAAGAAAAAAGATCAGACTGAAGTCTACTTGTCTTGAACACAGTTGTTTCAAAAGACTATATCTCTTAAGAGGAGAAAACCTTAATAAATGAGAAGATAAATGAAAATATCCTGCACTGCAATTGATGTAAATGTTAAGTAAATGAATGATGACTATCTGTGATAATTCGGGCCTTTTTTCTCTCCCAGAGACCCTGCAAATCTTTATTATTGTTCAGAATTGTCAGGAATCCAGTTTGTGTCGTCTGTTTTTGTGTTTCCTTTTCTCCTCCACCAGGTGGTGCCCCATCCTCATTGGGCCTCCCTGCACACCTGCAGCTCGTTGCCTCATTACCTGAGGACTCTTAAGCTGCTGACTACCACTACCTCAACGCCAGAGTGTTTGCCAGTTTCGGGAAGTCATCCTGCAAACTGGATGTTTTGGACCTTCTCCCCCCTGGAAGGATTCTCTGAGCACCAAACTGAGTTGAGGATTCAAGTTTGTGGTTTGGATCAACTTTTCCCCTCAAGGATTGTTTTGGGATTCTCACTGAGCAGGGGATTCATCTCCACTATAACCCGTTCAAGTACTGCAGGAAAACTAAGTGGCAGTCAGCTTCTCAGTTCACCAAGGAACCACTGCAATCTGGGTAAACCCTGTCTGCCCTCCAAAGAACAAGACATTCACTGGAACAATGCACATCGACTGGATTCACTAAGAGACACCTTTTTCTGGAAACTTCCGGTTCGACAGTGTTCAGAGCAGCACTGGACCCATCTCATTCTCCCAAAATAAAACCTTTTAAACTTTTCCCTGGTCTCTCTGTTTGGTCTTCTGCATGTGGGTCAGATCACTAGATAAAATCATGACAATAATATAATCTTATAACTTAAATGATTAATTTAAATCAGTTCACTTTGTTGAAATAGCTTTGTTTCATTCGTAGCTTCACTTACTTCATTTTCTAAAGCCTGGGATACACTTTGTGATATCTTCAATAATTGTTTCACAACTCCAACTTAAATTGAGGGAATCCATCGCAGATTACCAAAAATCACTGTAAGAACTGAGGTTCGGATGTGATGTGACTACTCACACTGTACGTCCTCAAAGACAGGGTGGAGTATTGAACAATCCCAATATCCAAAGCAATAAATACAATTAGCTAGAAACGCGTGATGTGAAAATCTCAGGGGAAAAAGTTCTCAGTGAGGTAATGCTCTTCAACATGATTATAAAGCAGGTTTGATTTTCTTGAAACCCACGATTTCTGATCAGGAGCTCGTCATAATGTGCTTGCATGACGCACAACACATGACCAAACACTGCATGATTTTTTGGTCATTTTTGAAACGATTATTAATTATTGAAAGGTCTCTGGACATTTTATAAATAAATCCTTTGGCTTTTGCCACAAAATTGACAATGCGTTGTCATACCGATCCAAAGGATGCAGCCACATCAAAACAAACAAAAAATATATAGGGGAGTGGCGGCCTATTGGTTAGGGCATAGAGCTTGGAATCCTGAGGTTCTGAGTTCAAGCCCCACTCCAACAGCCTCTGAATTTACTGATGTTACTCTGTACTGTACCAAAGCCAATTTACATTGGACTATAAAGCAAAAGAAAAAAGATACCAACGTATGGTATGATTTTAGGAATAGAAAGAATCCTTCAATCTCTATGTGCTTCAACCTTCTGAGATCAAAGTGTTATTGTTGTTCAAAGGGCTACACAAAGATACAAATAAACAGGAAATATGGCAATTATAAATTACTTTGTAGTGACATATAGCATGTTCTTACCTAGAAAAGAGAACTGCAGAGGTAGCTTACTAAGGGGAGTGCTGCTAGTAATTAAAGGTAGTGGTGTGGTGGATGGTGCAGTAGTACTAGTAGCATGGAAAGGTAAAGCTGCTGTGGGTAGTCTAGTAGTCGTTGTATGGAAAGGTAGAGCTGTAGTTTGGGGTTTTGTAGTAGTAGTAGTCTTAAGTAGAGCTGTAGTTGGGAGTGTAGTAATGGTAGTAGTAGTAGTCCTAGGTAGAGCTGTTGTTGGGGATGTTGTAGTAGTAGTCATAGGTAGAGCTGTGGATGGGGGTGTAGTAGTCATAGGTAGAGCTGTTGTTGCGTGTGTGGTAGTAGTAGTAGTAGTAGTCATAGGTAGAGCTGTTGTTGGGGATGTAGTAGTAGTAGTCATAGGTAGAGCTGTTGTTAGGGATGTTGTAGTAGTAGTGATAGGTAGAGCTGTGGATGGGGGTGTAGTAGTAGTAGTAGTAGTCATAGGTAGAGCTGTTGTTGGGGATGTAGTAGTAGTAGTGATAGGTAGAGCTGTGGATGGGGGTGTAGTAGTAGTAGTAGTAGTCATAGGTAGAGCTGTTGTTGGGGATGTAGTAGTCATAGGTAGAGCTGTTGTTGGGGATGTAGTAGTAGTCATAGGTAGAGCTGTTGTTGGGTGTGTGGTAGTAGTAATAGTAGTAGTCATAGGTAGAGCTGTGGATGGGTGTGTAGTAGTAGTAGTCATAGATATAGCTGTTGTTGGGGATGTAGTAGTAGTAGTCATAGGTAGAGCTGTTGTTGGGGATGTAGTAATAGTAGTCATAGGTAGAGCTGTGGATGGGGGTGTTGTAGTAGTAGTAGTATTCATAGGTAGAGCTGTGGATGGGGGTGTTGTAGTAATAGTAGTAGTCATAGGTAAAGTTTTGGCTGATGGTCTAGTAGTAGTAGTCATAGTTGTTGGGTGTGTAGTAGTAGTAGTAGTTGTGGCTATAGCTGGAGATGTCATTGATGGGGATCTCTTCCCTCTTGAAGCCATTGGATGCTTGCGAACACTCGATCCATCAGAATAGGACAAATCAATGGTGCTGTGTGGATAGTCTTCTACAACCATCTCAAAACCAAAGACACTTTTTTCATGAGAGGTTTGCTGGTAGTGCAATGTACAAGAATCCTGATAAAAACACAGTTCATTAAAAAAACAAAAACAGATTTTTAACGTTTTGACGCTCTCATAATACGATTATGATGTTTTAACTGACCTGGTCAAGTTGGAAGCCTGAGGGGAGATGGCAATTGTCACACTCGAATCCATGTAAATTCCCATACCTGCAGCGGACCCTGTCACCATCAGGATCAAAGGCAGCCAGTTTGTATGTTCTGGGGCAGTTCTCAGGGACTCTATAGTAGATACAAACACATAATGTAAATAAAATCAGTTCTGCAAAGAGACTTCAGGAGAACCAATGAAAACGTCTGAGGTCTCTGAGTAGGCAAGTCTACATCTTGTGGGATGTAATGAGAAGGATTTAAACACCTATAAATCTTACAGTTCATTTCTTAATAAATTGAACTATCCTTTATATCAGATGGTGTGATATTATATAAACCAAAGGTACCTTAAAAAGGGGACAATGGCAATTTCAGGTGATTTATTTGGTTCCATCGTGTCTGATCTTGTACCAAAATCCACAAGGGAATCCAATCTCCAGTTTTGAACTGAGTTACGTGTTGGCAACCAGCAGCAGCTAGATGCTCTGATATTGTTGAAGGAAAGAACAAGATATACATTCATTTTAACTTTGGCTCCAAAACACAGCAGTTATGGTTATATAATATATGATACTAATATTAATACTAATTCCACTTATTGACATGTGAACATATTTTTGCGTTTTGTATCAGCTCACCGGAATTTCAAAGGCTTGTCACTCAGTAAGGTCCATGTCTCAACAAGTTCTGTTTCGCACCATTGGTTTTTGTAGGATGGTACATTGGTGCTTGAGTCAATCTGAGTTTTGGTTTTACTGGTTGAAATACCACAGTTGCCGCTGTAACAACTCCAGTAATGTGTATAAACACAGCTATCATAAGTGTCTCTGGCTCGGAGGGACATCTGTGGGGCAAATGAGACAGAACACAGAGGATGTTTTATAAGTTTGATTCTAGTTAATTGAAAGGAAAGAGAGGTGATTACTGACAATTTTTTCAGAGTGCATTATTATTATGCATGAGAAATAATCAGATTTTGGATTGATTTAATGCCCTTTATTTACTATGTAGTGCTCTCTCCGCTCAACTCAAGTTGTCTGCTTTTAGCCCAGAGTTAACAGAGAAGTTTGGATAATACAGGCTGAGAAAAAGAAATCTATTTCAGATTAAAAGAAAAGCTACACTCAAGGAAACTGTTTTTAATACGATTCCTTTGGTCATTATTTTAACGACCTTTAACTGTTGCTGTTTCAGAGAAAATTGCAGCAGTAGTTTCGATGTAGCACAGAAGCTAATTTTGTTTTGTATTGTTTTTGGACCAATTGTAGTGTGAAACAACTGATTGCATAAAAATCTAAAGATTAGTTATAAAAATAGCTTTAGATTTGTTTCTCTAGTCTGAAGATTTTGAAATCATTTGCTTTAATACAGCAATTTTAAACGCAACATTTAAATCTTTAATTTTCATAATGATATGATTTTAATTAGGGTAAGGGTTGATTATGGGTTGAATAAGTTAACATTTCAACCCTTTAGTTAAATATTCTCTTTTTCAAATAATGTTGAATAACATGTCAAGAGTTATTATGTTCAGATTAAACGGTGGTTTTGTAAGACCTTTAATTTTCGGAACAAATATTCTAATTTATTAAATGTGACTGTATGCACAAGTTGATGTGAAAATAAAGACTAAGTATGAGACTACTTTTTATTGCTTGTTAGTTGAACACTTTATTGAAGTCATGAACATTTGTTTATTTTGGATGTTCTTTCAACTTGACTCAATATCAAAGTTTCTATTTTGATTTTCAGCTGTGCTCAAAAAGCCTTTATAATTGAAGCAAATGATTTAAAGGTAATAAATAAAGAATTTGAAGGTAAAAAAAATCCCGCAAACCTGTGAGAATTGAAGGAATAGTTAATTAATATTAATAATAATAATAATATTATATTATTAAGTTACAACAGACTAAACAATAACACATGGAAATAATAGCATCCTATATTTGTACATAAAAAGTAATCTTTCTTACCTTAAAGGATCCATCAGGGTTCCTTCCTTTGTAGGCAACATTCAAGGTTCCTCCCCAGTGATGAGATGCTGAGACCAGGGAGGTCAGCAGGAGCAGCTGGAAAAGGAACAGCACTCTGGAGGCCATCATGATGCTTCAGTCTCAGCTTAGTCTCCGCCAATGTTGTTTGCATCTAGATGCAGCATCATATATACAGACAGCTATGGGGTTGAAGGAGTGACGGTCAGGGTGAAATAATGCTTAGAGGGTTACCGAAGTAAGAGGAAGTTGCAAAACTGGTTTGGAACAAACAAACAGCACTTGGAAGAGATTGGCATTTAATTGAAAAAGATATGGGGAAGTGAGAATGCTTTCTATTTAATCACAGCAAACTATGTTTGCTTTGTTTGTTTCTAGGTTTCCACCGAATTTGAATTTATTTATTTTTTTGTGGTTTTATAGTCGATAGAAAACCATAAAAAACAAATTTTCTAACATTTGACTGTTATTTTGCCTTTCAATGTCCATTTTGTATCTCTTTATCTTTTGACATCATATACTTTTAATAATGTTTAGTTTTGTTACCTTTTTAGGTTGGTAAAATGTAGTTGTGAAGACTGTTTATATCTTAACTGTTTATAGACAGGATCTCATGACATTATTAATGAGGAAGAAGGCAAGCTTTGCGTTTTGAAAATGATGAAGTTTTAGTGGCTTTGTAAGGACATGCTCTCTTACACTGGATGAGTTTGCTATTGCATGAGTGGTCAGGATGACTGACAGCTCAACTAAGTCTGAGGCCATGGATTTGGACTGGACAAAGGAGGACTGGGGGTCAGTTTCTACCTCAACAGGCGGTTAAAGTATTTTTGCATCTTGTTCAGCAGTGATGGTATAATTGGACAGGGTGGGTTTACAGTAGTAGCTATTTAAAATTTAAACTTAGCTGGTCTTTGGCTGGTCCCCTACAATTCCTTTTTAAACATAAATCTTTGTACTAAAATATTCTTTGTGTTATGATTTTTCGACATTAAAATCTATCATCATCTCCTGATCAGACCCTGTAATTAAGTAAAAGGATGGAGTCAGAGAAAAAAAAATATGTAGGCCCAGGAGAAGGAGGGGTCACTCCAGTGGCTGGAAGTTGGAGTGGATTCTGCTGGGAGTTGCAGGGAAGTGGACTGCCATTCGGCTGGCATTTGACTCGGAAGGACCATTAGTGAGAAGCTTTGTGAATATGTGAAAGAATGATGAAGGGTGGCTTTTGGCTGATGATTCTTCAGCCTGCATAACGGACGGCAGTGGTTTTGAAGAGACCTTCTTTCACGTCTGCTTTACTATTCCAGTAGGCGCGGAGTGTGAAAGATTCTCAAGGGCTGCCACAATTTCCATCCTGCAATGCTGTCAACATTAGTGCATCAGTTTACTGTTGCACCTCCACTAGTCCCCAAAGCTAACGAATTATAGAAGCAAGCCTATAGCATTCAAGAACACATTTGCATTTGTCTGGAGGTACCTGTCAGTGAGAAGGCGTATGCCCCAGTGAGCTACATATCCCTATAACATTTTGATGCAGAATAATACTTGGTAATAAGATAAGATTAAATAGACTTTATTGATAACACAGTGGAGAAATTAACTTGTCACTTAGGCTCAATAGCCAAAAGAAGGTGCCAAAAGCAGGAAAAAGTGCATATACACTGTACATATATAGATCTATATATAATATATATACTGTATATATTCATTATACGGATATATATATTCATAAAACATGATCTTGATTATAATAAAGATCATTTAAGTAATTAACTAAGAAATCGATTTAACAAACAGGACTTTTATTGTTTTTGTGGCCTAGTGGTTAGAGCATTGTGCTTGGGTCCCAGAGGTTCTGAGTTGAAGCCCCATTCCCACAGACTGCCACTCTGGGTCGCTGAGCAAAGAGCAGTAACCCCACACCGCTCGCCGGGCACCACACAATGGCAGCCCACTGCTCCCCAAAGGGATAGTTAAATGCAGAGAGTGAATTTATTTTGTTTTGTACTTGACTTTATACTTGACAATGCAATGACAATAAAGTTTAATTCTATTCTATTTTTTTGTATTTCACACACTTTTAAAAGACTGTAAAATAAAAACAAAATGTTCTTTTGCATAACAAAACATACAGTTAAGTACTAAAGTATGTCACCATGTATTCATTTTGTGGTTCAAAACATTTCTTGTTTAAAAAAACAGTATTACCTACAGTGAATACCAATGTAGAAACTTATCCTCCCTTCATTGGTTCGATTGTGTTTCTCAACTAAAGCTCAATTGTTCAGCTTTAGCTGGGAAACACAATCTACCTCTTGGCATTGTGCCAACTAATAAGGCACACCAGTCTCTTAATTTTACTAGAGGAGAGCAACTCTCTGAAAAATGTGTCCTGAGAGGGAGAACAGTGTAACGTGGTGTCAGGTGCTGAAAGATATTCGCAGGCAGTGAGATATAGTCTAAGGTGTGAGTTCCTTCTTTTTGACCACCATTGCCGTGGGCACAGATCTATGTCAGTTTTGGATTTTGATTTCTACCTATCTGGTGCATTAGGAATTAACTCTACTTCATTGTCTGTGTCTAAATAATATGATACATGCAAGAAGGTGGAGATCTTCTTTACTAGTCTAGTGTGTGAATGGGTGAATGAATGTAGTGTAAAGCGCTTTGGTCAGGTCTCCTAACTTGAATAAAGGTGCTATATAAGTACATGCCATTTACCATTTACTAGTGGTTTGCCATTTGTTAAAGCAACCTGGATCTGGACATTTTAGCTTCCCTCTGAGTTTTTTCAAAAAAAAAAAACCTCCATACTCCTTTTAGATTTAGCCTGGCATTTAAAATCATTAAATGTGGGATTAATTGCAGAAGCAATCACAAATGGCCTTTTTGGAATCATCCTCTGAAGGCTTCATGACTCTGAAAAGGTGGCAGAAGGCAGACAACACCACGGAACAGGAGGTGTAATGATGGAAAACGTGGAAAACGTGGATTGGATTTTAGGCTCCAGCAAATACAGAGACACACTGCTTGATCATTCATCAACATCGAACTGTTTAACGCTCAATCCATCACAAACAAATCTTACCTCTTACATGACCATGTGATGGATAAGTCTTTGGATCTTATGTGCCTTACAGAAACCTGGCGCCAACCAGATGTTTTTGCTGCATTAAATGAGACCTGCAATCATGGGCGTAGGTTTGCATAAGGACCATAGGGACATGTCCCTACCAAAACTTTGGACCGACCTACCTGTCACTACCAACAATTAGATGTGAATAACATGTTTAAAATTTACAATACAGGTTTGTCGCAGCAGTAGAGGAGTTCTGGATGGAGAATATTGACAGACGAATTTTTTTTTATCTAAAATGCAAAATGTTAGTGCCTTTATGCTCCACTTAACAATTAATTGATTACTAAATTTGTTGACATTATTTCAATAATTGATTAATCCAATGAATTGTTTCTGCCTTAAATAAAATACATGAAATTGGTTAAACAGAGTAACTACAGCCAGGATGTACAACTTGTAGAGTGAATGTTCTAGTTCCAGTGCTCATGTAAATAAAAAAAAATTCATTTGGCGTCCCTTGAATCTATTATTTTGCTTTGTTTGATGATACAAAGAAAACATTTAAAAGATAAGAGTGTGCTTTACCTCTGTTTACCTCTGCACATTTATATATCTTCAAAGGAAAAAACAGGATAAATCCGCATATAGCAGACATATTTAGACTATATTTGGTTAAATAGGCACAGATTTACCTATTGCCTTAGTTGCTGGTAATTTCAAATGCGAAGTGGAAAATAGCCATAATTCCTTATTCATCGGAGCTGATGATGCTTCGAACATTGTAAAACAGCATCTAGTGTGTGTAGTGCTTATAAAATTATTATTAATGTAGCAAAAAATGCTGCTTTTCTCTTTAAAGGAAATACACCCTGATTTCCTGTCAAGCATTAAAAAAACCAGCATGCATAATTTAGCATAGGACCAATGCCATCAGACCAAGAGTGTCCCTACCAAAGCTGAAATCAAACCTACGCCCTTGCCTGCAGTCCTGGCTACCGCAATCTACAGCAAGCACGTACCACCAAAAGGGATTTTGGTTTGTCCCCTATAAACCTGCCTGAGCTGTTGTCTTTTGAATGCCTTGGATTTAAATGTAAGCCTCCTCTCTCTACAACAATACTTTTCATCTACCGGCCACATAAATCAAACTCATCTTTCATCTGAGATATGTCCAACCTTCTCTCAACATTCTGTACTATGTCTGCCAATATAATTGTCCTTGGAGATACAAATATTCACATCAACTCTCCCACCTGCAGTTTTGCTGCAGAATTCCTTAAATTACTCTGTTTTAATTTGACACAATTATTGATTTCCCCACTCACACCAGGGGGGGGACACACCTGACCTGGTCTTCATTAACTCTGCACATCTCAGTATACTTCTGGTCTTTGATCAAGTCCAAAAGACAAACCTGCTCCAGAAACCTTAAAAACATTTACCCATAATCTTTAGCATCCAACCTTCAACATCTTTGTTCAGTGAACTGTTTACCAGCCACCGACTCTGTGGATTACAGGAATATTTTGTAGGGATTGCAGGAACAGCACTAGACTAGTTTAAATCTTATCTGTTCGATTTCAGTTTGTTCATGTTAATGATAAATGTTCCTCATGCTCAAAGGTTACCTGTGGAGCAGCACAGGGATCAGTGCTAGGACCAATTCTCTTTTCTATATATATTCTCCCAGTCGGTAGAATTATTAGACAGCATGAAATTAATTTCCACTGTTATGCTGATGATACTCAGCTATATCTGTCTATAAATTCAGATGAAGCTAACCCATTACATAGATTACAGGCATGTCTTGAAGATATAAAAACCTGGATGACTGTTAACTTTCTCTTTCTGAATGCAGACAAATCAGAAGTTATAGTCTTTGGACCAGAGTCTTTGTTGGGATCTGGAGTTGTTCCACCTTTCCCCAGCAGAGTGCGCCGTGGGTTCTCTGGGCTGGAGCTCACCAGCACACCTGGAGCTCGTCAGCCCATTAGAGGACCCTCTACTTAAGCAGATGCCAGACCTTTCTTCGACGCCGCAGTGTTAGCTAAATTTGGTTAGTGAACCTGAGCCTTTT